GAGGAGTTGCTTGATCCCCCTTTCCGCCAGGAACTGCTTGAAGCGCTGAGAGGTGTACTCGCCACCTCCGTCTGACTGGAAGCTTTTCAGTTGCGTTCCAGACTCTCTCTCTGCTATCGGTAGCCAGGCGGCGAATGCTGCGAGCGCCATGTCGCGGCTGGGTAGGTTACGATGCCAGACGTATCGAGTGGCGGCGTCGATGAAGGTGATGGTGTAGTTGTAGTTGACTTGTCCTGGTTCGCGATTGTAGAGGATGTCGCTGTAAACCTTTTCAAGTGGTGCGTACGCTGGTGCGCTCGGGTTGTGATGTGGAGCGAATGGTCGATGAGGTAAGTCAGCTTCGGGGCATGTAAGGCAAGTCCCTCGTGCCTTTTGGAGTTCTCTGCCGTCGGGTAGAAGTAGAGAGTCTTTGTCAAGAACTCTTGCTCTTATCGTGTTATTTAAAACCGTGTTACTTGGATGTCCTGTGCGTGCGTGCCAGATTTCTTCCGAGGCGCGGTGTCCGGGTGAACGTTGGTATGCGTTGGAGTTGGAGTAAAAACTGGCGACGAAGTTGGCGCTTCGGTGGACTTCGCGTTAAGTCGGATTTAGCTGTTGTGCGGGTGTTGGTGGTGCTTCGTCGACTGTGACTGGTGTCGTTGTTCCTGTTGCTGCTGATGTTGTCGCTGCTCTCGATGTTGTTGCTGCTGCTGCCGATGTTGTTGCTGCTGCCGATGTTGTTGCTGCTGCCAATGTTGTTGCTGCTGCTGCCGATGTTGTTGCTGCTGCCGATGTTGTTGCGGCTGCCGATGTTGTTGCTGCTGCCGATGTTGTCTCTGCTTCTGTTGTTTGTTGAATCGTCGCTAACGCTCGTGTTCGTTCTGCTTCAGGGATAGTGTGGTGTCAGAATATTATCTTATTGTTCTAGCCTGTAGTGGGGTGCTCTATAGCGAGTACAACCCTTCTAGGGTTTGCTATTTGTATCCTCATTCTTGCTAGTTCAATCCTCTTTCTTTCTTCTAATTTTGTCATGCTATCAGAGCAGGTCGATCCCCTTGGATCGATCCTGTGGGTGGGTTACCACCTCGCTTCCGCTGCTACTTTTTCCTCCCGCCGTGCGCCCCGAGGCGCGCGGCGGTTTTCTGCCCGCCGTGCGCCCCGAGGCGCGCGGCGGTTCTTTGCCCGCAAGCGGCCCCCTCAGGTCGCCTCGACGGACGACGGGAGGGGCGAGCTGTGGGGTGGCGGGTATGGGGGTGGCCGGTGTGCCTTCCTCCCTTGCTCCTCCTCCTCCTTCGTCTCCCACTGCTGCAGCTGTCGCTAAGGGGGGTGGTTGTGTGGGAGACTGGGGTTTAGGGTTTAAGGGGGGGTGCGTGGGAGTAGAGCTAGCGGTGTAGCAGTGGGTGTGTATCAGGGGGGTGGGACTGTGTGCGGGAGGATGAGCGGAGGTTGCCAGTTTGTCGTCAGCAGCACCTGTAGTCCGGGGCGCTGTCCCGGTAGCCCAGTGAGCTAGACTTCTACGCCAGCCGCCTGTGGGTCCGTTGCCCGTCCGCCGCTATTTGAGCCGCGGGGCCTGTTACTCCTGTAGTCCGGGCGCTGTCCGGTAGCCGCTGTGCCAGTCTGCCTCCTGTTGCCCGTGTGTCTGCAGCTTCAGCCGTCGCCTCCTATCTCCTCTCCCCTCACTCTCCCTCCTCCTCCTCACTTGCCCGTTGTGACTACCACTAGCTTTGCTTATAATTGTGAACTCTAAACTATTTCTTCTTGAACTTGTGCTCAGAATGTGTGGTGACATTGTGATCCACCCTGAGCTTGTATTGCTTTGCCTGCTCTGCTGATTACACCCCACTTTGGCTATGGGGGTGTGTCAGAATATTATCTTATTGTTCTAGCCTGTAGTGGGGTGCTCTATAGCGAGTACAACCCTTCTAGGGTTTGCTATTTGTATCCTCATTCTTGCTAGTTCAATCCTCTTTCTTTCTTCAAACTTTGTCATGTGGGAGTACCAAAAACCTCCCGGGCTGAAGTCGGGGTCGAGATCTGGAGGGTGTGTCCAGTCAGTAAAATTCACGATGGCGTCGCTGTCTGCAGTGCCCAGGTCAGGAACGAAGTCGAGGACGAAGACGTTGTTCTTCAATACTGCTTTCCCGATGTAGAGACCGCCTCTCCCGTGGTATAGCTTGAACTCTTGGGTGGTGCTGTCGGCTTCCAGGTGAATCCCCTTCGCCATCAACTGGCTAACACTCAGTAAGTTGTAACCGAGTCCTTCAGCGATGAGTACCTTTGACATGTGCAGTATGACATTTGTTTCTCTTGACTGAAGCTGTTCCACTCCTTGTCGTCGTGTGCGCAGGTTTTGATTGTTGGCGACTGTGATGACAACTTCTCGTTGGAGTCGGTGTTCGCGTTGTACGAAGCGTCCGGACGAGCACATGTGTTGCCCGCAGCAACTATCCAAGAACCAAGTGTCTTGGCCGGACGGTTCACTTTGAGCGATGGCGGCGTAAGTCGGATTCGGGTGGAGTGATTCGCGGCGGGGTGTCCTGTTGTCGAGCTCCTCTTCTGGTGAGTAGTGGGGTGGTGACTCTGTTATGCAAGAATCGTTTATCTTGACCATGCAGTTGACTATGTTTCTTGCTCCTTGTGCAGGTTGTCCAGTTGAAGTCGTTGAAGCTTGAATCGTGGTTGTCGGACTTGCTTGTGTCGAAGCAACTTGGGAGCTTGAAGGCCGCAGTTGTCGCTGTGGTGTTATCTGACGGGACGGGCAATGCGTGCGTGGATGTCCTGATGTTTTGCAGATGTGACAAAACGGAGGTACTGGCTTCGGCTGCTGCTGTCGGTTGTTGTAGTAGTTGTGTCGTCGCTGAGTATGGAAAGCGAACTCCGGTGCTAATGCCTTTTTCTTGTGCCTTTCTTCTTGGAGGTCCATGTACTGCTGCTCGGCGTGGATTTCGACGCAAAGTGCTGCTTCAGAGATTCTTCCGTGGGCTCGAAGAATTGCTTTGGTGGCGCGCCACTGAGGACCGAGGCCACCGATGATGACTGTCACGAAGGCGTCTTCAGAGATTGATCCTCCGCATCGAAGAAGCTTGTCGCGCAATTTGCGACATCGGCTGATATACGCCAGTCCCTTTTCTCCTGGTTTCATTTCAACTGTTGTCAATTGCGCCATTAACCTGCTCTGGCTTACACTGTCTGTTGCCTGATACAGGTTCTTCAGATGACCGTACGTGAGTTCCGCCGAGTTGCCGAAGTTCCGGTAAGAGCGAATGTTCTGCTGCTGAGTTGGTGTGATGTTTCTAAGTAGAATAGTATACGCCATCATCGATTGATACGTATACTGCTGCTTCTCATACTGTGTGCCGTTTGCTGGATACCGCAGGGATCCGTCGAAGAAGCCGAGTATCTGCGCGCCCTCCATCATCAGCTCGAATTCAAAGGACCAGGTGAAGAAGTCCTTTCCGTCGAAGGGTCTTGATGTTTGCAGTTTCAGGACATGCGCGAATTGTGACTGAACTTGTAAAGCGTCCATTGGTTTGTCTTGCGCAGGTGAATGTTGAGGCAGGAAGCTGATCGACCCGCGCTCGTACGGGGCAAAGGTGGGTTGCTGCTGTTGATTCCCTCGCGCATATGACGATCCGTCAAGGCTCATGGGTGTCGCTCCGTTGTTGCTGTTGTGTGTCTGTGCAGGTCCCGACTGCTGGTGTTGCTCGTAGAAGGACATGAAGGAGAAAAATTTCTCCATCATGCTCTGGTCGAAGTCAGAAGGATGGTTCGTGGGGGTCTCGGTTGACGTTCCCCTTGGTCTTGCTGCCGTGCCTTCCTCTGTCTGCAGGCCAGAGGCTGGTGGTGGAGTAGGAGTAGTACCCGAGGAGCCATTAGGGAAGCTCCTTTCCTTGTTTGTTGCCATGTCTTGTAATAATCAAAAAGTTAGAGTTTTCCCCTGTCAGCTCTCATACCATGTTGGGCTGAGAAAGCCCTTAAGGATCTTTGCAGAGGATAACTCTGGGTAGGATATTTGTAATAGCGGAAGCGTTTAATGAAGTTTGTGAACCGACCTTGCACTAGTGTGTGAGAGCAAAGTGGATTAAATTAAACAAGCAAATACAAGGTTTTATATAAGAGTACAGGGAATACGAATGGATAGATAACTGTATTTGCTGTTGCGATTCGATACAGTGCGACTCGGGCAACTGCTCTGTAACGAGTCAGTTGTGTGTCCTTAACTGTCGCGCTGTAATTGTCGAGTCAAAGGTCACTGACCTTTGACTTTCCCGTAACCTCCAGGCGGTTACCCTAACCTCCGAGGTTTGACTCGATGCTTCGATTCGGACTGCTTCGCTAGTGTCTTGGGTTTTGACACGACAGAAGCGCACTAAGACTTATTGTTTCCAACAGTCGTGTGGGTCACTTATTCTTCTGAACCAAAAAAAAAAACTTATCCCATGGGCTACTGCGGAGGCATCAACAAGAGCAATCAGTCTGGAGGACAGAGCTGTAGTTAATGAAAGTGCCAGAGCCCGTGCAAGGGCATGGCAGGGAATAATGGGGTGATAAGATGATGATGTGATGGGGAAATGGTTTGATGGTGCGATGGAATGACAGAGGAATGAGGTAATGGGATGGTGGGGTGAAAGGATGATAGGGTAATGGGTTAACGGGATATGGTATCATGTGGTGAATGGAGTGCCAATGGCAGTGGTATTGATACAAGCTATAAAGCTGATTCTGTAGAGGCAGGTTCAATACAAGGCGATGGGGACCCATGACGAATCCGCAGAGATTAGCGACCAGATCAACATGAGAAGGCTGGATGCGCCACACGCATTTGCTCTCGGTCCAGAAGACGTGAACCAGCTCTCCGCCTTAATGACTCCGTTCCCCCCGCGTTTCCAGCCCTTCATCACCCTCACCACAATGGCCTCCCGATCCCACTGCCTCATCAAGGGCGGGCTACTCCTGGCATGGGCCGGGCGACGGAGGAGAGAAAAGGGGGAAGACCGAGGTGGGTGGGTAGGAGAGAGGGGTCAGAGAGTGGCTTTTAAAGGAGGGACGTCAGAAAGAGACGGCGTGCGCTGCCCATCGGATTCCACTGCCTCCTCGGGGGCTGTTGTTTCTTGTGGGAGAAAGGGGTAGGGGAGAGGCGTGGCAGAGCACAAAGGAGAAACTTCTCACGGCTTGCATCGTTCACCTCACCTTTTTGACCAAGCCATCGCCTCTTACGACCCCCGTATCCCTTTCAGCCCCCAACTGTTAATCCTTTTGATATCCTGCCTATACCCTCGCCCCCTGCCCTCACTCACCTGTATGCGTGGCCATGCGTGTCCTGTGCCACCAGAGTTTATCCCCCCCCCCTCTCCTAATCCCCTCTTCCCCTCCTCCCCGCCCCCCAATCGCTTACCCGTATCATCCCTGCAATTCCCATGGCTCACCCGTAGCCGCGGCCACTCGCGCCAGCTTGCGCAGCCCCATGCGGTCTGCGCAAGCTGGCATGCGGTCGCATGGTGCTGCGCATGCAGTCCTCACACACCTGGCGGGCGGAGGAGAGGTGCGCAAGGGATAGGGGAGAGGGACAAAGGGGGATGCTTCGAGATGTCTCAAACAACTGCACCAGGCGACCTGCTGGCAGACAGTTGGTGCAAACCTGGCGGGCGGAGGACAGGGACACGGGGGGGGAGGAACGGGTGTGGAGGGGAGAGAAAGGGCGAGGGTGTTTCAAGATATTGCAGCACATGCTTCTGCAGAACCATTCAGTGTGCTACCATGTGGTGCTCACACCTGCAGCACACCAAGCAGATGGGGGTCATAGATGGGAAGGGCGGGGATGTTTTGAGACGTTTCAGCACCGGCTTGTACCATGCGGTACGCAGGCACGCATCCTCGCACACCTGCAGGGGGAACAAGAAGAGGTGGGGGAATGGGGAGAAGGGGAGGGGGAAGAGGGGAAATGGCGGGGATAGAGTGGAGGGGAACAGTGGGGGAAGCTAAGAGTGGGGAATGTCGCATAGTGTGTGCACATCTGATCGATCAATTCCGCACGGTTGGCGGGGGGTGAAGAAGTGAGAGGGGTCGGGAATTGAGCAAAACACGGCTGTTTGCAATCACCATCGTCACTCATTTCTCCTCGCTGCGCAACCCTCACACTTTCATCACCAATCAACCCCCTTCCCCCTCCCCCCTCCCTCCCCTTCACCACTTCTCCCCTCTTCCCTGGTGCAACGCACCTGCTTTTGTTCTCCATGCCTTCCACCACCTCCCCCCCTCTTTCCACCACCTCCCCCCCTCTTTCCACCACTTCCCCCCCTCTCTCCCATCTTCCAGCCCTCTCCCAGCCTCCCCCACATCTCCCCTCCCCCGCGCCAGACTCTACCCCCCCCCCCCCCCCCCCGCCCGGAATTTTTCTATCGCGCACGACAAGCACAGAATGAGGATGAGGAGAAAAAGCTGGGAGGAACGGGGGCGAAGGCATGGGGAGAGGAGCAGGGAGGGAGAAGACAACCCTCCAGCCAGCATCGAAGGAGGTGACAATGGCACCAGAATTCTCAAAAGCGGCAAGTTGACGGTTCTCTTAATCGTCTTTCGATACGCTGCGACGCACGCAACGAATTTCTCGCAATAAACGCGGCGCTACGAATTTTTCTCGGTGCTCAAGGAGCAGCTAGCGACGCACGCCGACCCTCGCTCGACTTGCCATCGCCCATAGGAGGCATGAGAGATGATGGTGAGCAATGTTAGTGCAATTGCTGAGTCAGCTCATACGGTGTCCAAATGACGCAACAGTGGCGCTCCTTTTGACACTATTCTTCGAGATTATGACAGAGCAGTTACAGAAGGGAAGAAGAAGCAATTATGGCCATCAGAGGACCATTAGGTCAAGTAACTCCCTCAAGCCCGTCTGGCAGCATGTGGATGAGAGCATGTGCGCAGACAGTGGGATGAAAGCTAACAGACTTACTTAACTGTAACAGACTGATATTAACAGACTTAGGAAAACCAAAAGATTCACTTGTGCTCGTCTGACAGCATGTGGATGAGTCGGTGATTTTCTCCTTGGGCAGCTTCACAGATCGGGACATGTCTTGCTGCCTGGTAAAGGTCAGGGAGAGATCTGACAGCTTGACAGCAGCGTGGGTGTAGACCATCCCTGTTGCTCCAATCACCTGTGGACACGTGTGCAGATGATGGGATGAGGGGGGAGAGAAAGAGGAGGGAAGGAGGAGGGGGGAGGTGAAAGGAATGAGGTTTGGAAAAAACACGATTGGAAAAGTGAGGTTTGGAGAGGAGTGCAACACGCGAGGTTGTTGAGACACCCTCCACTCATACAACCATTAGCAGCGTTCGAGACTAGTAGCCGCATCAGAAACCAGTAGGCACGCCAGATCTCTGTCGCACATCCCACAAATCATGCTACCAGGCTTTTGGCAGGCATGCGGTGCATGAGCCCTGGAAACAGCACGAGGTGCTGGTGCTTCTCTCAGACAGAGGGAGAGGGCGTGACCAAGTGTGCAGAGACTGTGCTTGGCTCATGGATCGGATCAAGTGCATGCTCTCGACCCATGAGCCTGTCCGATCCAGAGACTGCAGAGACAGTGCTTCTCACCTCATCCATGTCAGCGGGTGGCAGCATGTGCTTGATCCGATCCATGAGCCCCTCAAGCAGCACACGCTTCTGCTTCTTCTCTGCCAGCGAGGCTGCCATGCTGGCGTGGATCTGCACGGCTGGCAGGTGCAGTGCAGGAAGTTGTTCACCTCCAGACCCAGATCGAACTTGCTCCCCCAGCAACCCTCTCCCCCAGCAACCCTCTCCGCCAGCAACCCTCTCCCCCAGCAACCCTCTCCCCCAGCAACCCTCTCCCCCAGCAACCCTCTCCCCCAGCAACCCTCTCCCCCAGCAACCCTCTCCGCCAGCAACTTTGTCACTTCAACGCGCCGCCTGTCAGTGGGGAAGAAGGGTGGCCAAGTGGGGAAAGGAATGTTGCACATCAGCTGGATGTTTGCACGGCTGGCAGGGATAGTTGACCACCTCCAGCGCCGGGTCAATCTCGCACTCCACCAGGAATTCTGTCACTCCACTCGATCCGCTGTCTCTCTAATCTCACACTCCACCTCTCATTACACCCTCCGAACAGCCACACAGGTTGCTCGTTTCCAGCGCTTCAGGCTGCCTGGAGCTTGTTGGAAATCGTTCACGCTCCACCAGGAACTGGTCACCCCAACCAATGCCACGGCTGTCGGTGGGGAGAGCGGCAGGGCCAGCCCAAGCAAGAACGAAGGCATTACACACAATCTCTCCTTTTCCCACACAAACTATCTTCCAAAGAAGCACTCACTTGCTGGTCCGGCCGTCACTGGGAGCACCGAACAGCGCCCCACTCCACGACGACTTCCTGGCAGCCTCCAACAGAAAGGGGGCGGGGGGGAGGAAAGTGGCCAAGGGGGGAGGAGAAGGGCGGGGATAAGAAGAGGGGGCGAGGGGAAGGAGACCGGGGGGGGGGGGGGGTTGGGGGAGAGTGGGGAGGAGGGAGAAGGCGGGGAGGAGGGGAGGAGAGTCGGCAGAGGAAACGTAGAGAGAGAGGGTGGCAGGAAGGAGAGTGGGCAAGGGAAAAGAAAGGGGGCGAGGGGAAGAAAGGGCTGGATGAAGCATGAGTTTGCACATGAATGATTGGGAGTGGGCGAGCTGAGAAAGGAGAAAGGCGAACAGAAAAGGGTGAAAACTGAAGGATCATGAGGGATCGGAATGGTCACAGAAAAAGTGGAAGAGCGACGGAGAGGGAAAGGAGAGCAGAAAAAGAGAGGAGGGGGAGAAGAGGTAAGGGGAGGGCGAGCGATGAAGACAAGAGGGCGGAATGAGGTCATAGGAGGAAAAGCCGCCAGAAAGGAGGAAGCGGAAACCAACCAGGTAGGTAAAGCATGGCGGGCAGGCAGGCAGGCAAAGCAGTCAGAGCATGGCAGAACAGGGCATGAAAAATTTGAGCCTCCAGCAGGGAAAACACCTGAAAGATGTGCCACTACTAGCACATCACCCCCGCCTCAACGCCTCACCCCCGCCTCAACGCCTCACCCCCGCCTCAACGCCTCACCCCCACCTCAACGCCTCACCTCGAGCACGGTGGGGGAGGCTAGTCCAGTGCCTTGCACGCTCCCTGGGGAGAACAGGAGGATGCAATTGGGAGGCGAGAGAGAAGGCACAGGTCGCATGAGGGAGGGAGAGGGAGGGAGGGAGGGATGGAGGGAGGGAGGGAGGGAGATAGGGAGGGAGGGAGGGGGGAATGGAGGGAAGGAGGGATGGTGGGATGGAGGGAGGGAGGGAGGGAGGGAGGGAGGGAGGGAGGGAGGGAGGGAGGGAGGGAGGAAGGGAGGGATGGAAAGAGGAAGAGAGGAGCATGGGATTAGTTTTTTTGGCCATGAGCGAAAGTCAAAAGCTTGTGTTATTGTGATTTGAACTGAGAAAAAGACAAACTAAAGCGGGAGAGAGAGGAGAGGAGGGAGGAATGGAAGGAGGGAGGGAGGGAGGGAGGGAGGGAGGGAGGGAGGGAGGGAGGGAGGGAGGGAGGGAGGGAGGGAGGGAGGGAGGGAGGGAGGGAGGGAGGCAGGGAGGGAGAGAGGGAAGGAGGGAGGGAGGGAGGGAGGGAGGGAGGGAGGGAGGGAGGGAGGGAGGGAGGGAGGGAGGGAGGGAGAGAGGGAGGGAGGGAGGGAGGGAGGGAGGGGGGAAGGGAGGGAGGGAGGGAGGCGGGATGGAGGAACGAAAAGAGGGAGTAAAGAAGGGAGGAAAGAAGGGAGGAAAGGAGGGATAGGGAGAGGGAGGGAGAGAAACTAGCTCTCAGCTTCTGCAGAAAAAAAAAAGGCATGTGGTTGCGTAGGACGCGTCACAATTGAAACACCGATCTTGCGCAGGATCGGTGTTTCGCGGCTACAGCTCATTCGCGACGTCGTTAATTTCTGGTTATCTGTTTTTGTCTTTTGTCGCTAACGTATAGTAGTCCCCTCGGAGTCGGGCGATCGATGTGCCCTTGCCACACATCGATCATGCAATTTCGTCCACATCGGGCAATTTTGCCCCATGATTTTTCGATCGTGTCACTTGGAACTTGCGGCGGGCCCGCGATTGCAAAAATTCAGTCGTGGCACACCGATGTGGCGATCGATTTGGCAGGATCGGTGAACAAGCCCGACTTCTGTTCGACTTTGTACAGCAAAATCCGAATCGCGCCTAACTTTCGTAGGTTACCGGGTCTGCACAGTGAGGTTCGTTGGCGGTTAAAACTTCGGTAACCGCTCCCGAGGTGGCTCGTTACCGTCGCGAAGCTCGCAGCTTCTTCGTGCGTGAGCAGCAGAATACACGATGGAGAACGTGCTTGGGGAAAATAATATGCGAGGTTGACCCGAGTTCAGTGTCCTGCAGTTTTCTTCAACTCTGAGCTTGGGCACATCGTCAACAGCTCTAAACGAAGTTTGCGAAACTGGTTATCAGCAGAAGGTTACCTTTAAAAAAAATTCCCACACCAGAAGATCCACGCCCTTCTGTATCATACGCTGTTGTGCTCGTTAGGGTTTCGTCGAGTTCTGTTATTGTGAGAGCGAATGAGGGGGTCGGTGTTCGTCAAACAGGGTCAGCCACTGCCCTGCTTCGTCTGACTTGCAGACAATGCGGGATTTTTGGGTTCGACATGCACTGCTGGCATGCCACGCCACCACAGAAACTCGTCACGTTAGAGTTCGCGAGTGCAGGGTAACTTGACGGTTAGTTCGCATTTGCCGAGATCCACACTCCACTGGTGAATGGGACGTCGCAACTCGCGAATTCGACGCCGTTAGCGATGTTGGCCTGTCGCAGCCAGTAAAAAATTGAGAACAATTTGGCAAGAAACTGGACCTCCATTTCACTCGCTCAACTCCCACCCACCTCCCTGCTGCCTTGTACTACCTCATTTTGCTGAAGTTACCTACTTCAAGCTAGGAAGTTCCTCTTAAATCCCTCAAGTTTGTCGAAGTCTCTTGGCTTAACCGCCTGCAGATATTCACTCGTATCTATTGACGCTTAAAGTCACTGCTACTCGTTGCTCGCAGCTTCACAAGTGATAAAATCTACAAATTTAGAGTTTCCCAGAAGCTCGCCGCACCTCGATGGCAACGGACGGCGCGGGACGAATCATTCGGCTCGGACTACTCATTTTTCTGACGTGTATCGCCGTGGTTTCTCCAGTCCAATGTGTCCCGCTCGCCGACTCCCAAGGTTCGTCGTAGAAAGAACTTGGCCCCGTTCAGTTGACCGCCGCCGCTCTCAACCTCCACGCCTCCAATCTTCATGTATTTGTTGCCCTTAAAAATTTCATGTGTTATGGAGCCTTGGTAACGGTATTAGACTGCACCAGCAAGGGTTCCATGGAGGCTCTCACACCACGATGGCACCACGCAGGACGCATCCAACTTCGCTCTGTGATCGTGCCTACGCGCCTCGTCACAGTTTCCCGACTCCGCTCTGTCTTCCGCTACAAAAGTTCGTCTTCGGTTCAATCTTATGCACAATGTTGGTTTCAGCAATGGCGCGAATCGTGCCACGGTGGCGGATTGTCAAGTCAAGTGGCGCTATCGCACGTATCCATCAGATCCATGCTTCTCATCCATAGAATGATGCTTTACAGCTGTATCCGCCAACTTCGAGTTCGGAATTGCAGCAGTTTGCAAATCGTTTCACAGCATCATAGCAATTTTCCCAACATTCTCACCATGAACAATTTTCTCGTGCTTGCCCATCACACCTGTCTGCTCTATTGATGTCTGGTGAAGGGTTTGAAAGAGGGAGGGAAGGCTGTATGAAGTTGATGAGCTGATCAATCTCTTCTTCCCCCCCTCCAAAGAAGGGTGTTGTTTCTCCCCAATTTTTTTGTCTCCTGCTCCATTGGGGGAGTTTGATGTGTGGGTAATTTGCTGCCATGGGTGGATGCAGGAATCGCAAGGCGCTGTTGCTCATTTACGACCACGAGTACTAGTAGTAATCACTTGCTGTGCCCGATGGAGCTGAGGACTGCTCATCCCCCAACAGTAGGAGAGAGCTTATGAGAGCTGTTTTTTTCCTTCCTCCGTTTCCTGCCCACTCCCTCCTTCTGTCCTTCTCTTGCCCTCCTGCTTCCCTCTCCCCCACCATCTGCCGCCAGAGCAAGTCCTGCAGGACTTGCAGCAAGCGTGGGGGCAGACATTCTCTGGGTGGGTGGCTGGGGGGAACTGCAGCTGGGCCTCCAATTTGATCTGCGATGCCAAAGGCATGGTGACCGACATGTGAGAGCACCAACTCTAGCTGGTCTTGCTTCTCTTGAATTGGATGCCTCTGTTTTCTTTATCGCGTCACCATTCTGTGTGCTCTGTATTTGCAATTACTTGGTGCATTTCAACGAGTAAACCCTTGCTGACCAAACACTCTCTCCAGATGCCTCTGTGTGTTTCTTTGTATATCTCTTGCACTCCCTTTCCTCATGAACCGGTCTTTCCATTGTCCCTCCCTCTTCCAATCTAACCGTCTGCTTTGGTGAACCCATTAGGATGGTCCCTACTAGTTTTGAAGGCTTGTTCAGGTCAATTGCCTTGTTAACCTTTGGGCAAGTGAGCATCTTCCATGTGGAATCTTGAATAACCTCCCATGTTGCATTAGTTCTATGTCTAAATCACCAGAAAAACGGGGTCATACAGAGGAAGATAGCATGATAGGCACAACTTGTAGAAAATCAGACCTATGTGCACAATGTGCACAAGGAGAAGCTGGTTCTGAGATGTTGAAAAAGGTTTACAAACAGAAAAATAACTGAAGTAATGAATACAAGCAAAACAAAAGCTAAAATAGGCAGAAAGTGAAGAGAGCTAGCTTGGAGGCGACTTGGGCTCGTCCAGTTGAGAAATTTGGTACCCCAAGGGACTTGGGGTGGCCAAATGGGTGCTCAAGTCGCCCACAGTCAAGATGGGGACGTAAGGGACCCTCAAAGTGGGCCTGGAAGCGTCTCCTCTAGTGGAACCGCGATTCCACGAATTGGAAACGCGAATTCCAAGCTGGAGCCGCGTTTCCATTGTTGAAATTCGTGGGTCCAGGCTGGAGCCGCGTCCCCAAGGATGGGAAACGTGCTGGGGTGCCCCAAAGGCGAATTTGGGGTGCCTAGCACTTGATAAAGTCACTCAGGGGGCACCCTATAACTAATATAACCCAACCCCTATTGTCTACACTATTATAATGTAAGCAAATACATACAAACCATAAAACAAACTAGTGAACTAACCTTCAGCATAATTAAAGGAAAATAAGTACCTAACAACACCCCCCCTTAGGGTGACAACGAGGGAGAGGTCAAAGAAAAAGTAGCAGGGTGAAGGTTGATGCAGGACTGTAGACGCTGAAGTGTGTCACGAGGGAGAGGCTTGGTCCCCAAATCAGCAAGGTTATCACGGCTAGGGATGTAGTGCAGCGAGATATGCCCTTTGTCAACATGATCACGGAAGAAATGGTGGCGGATGTCGATGTGTTTGGCACGGGCATGGAAAACACCAGCGTCCTTTGCCAAGACAATGGCGCTAGTGTTGTCACAGAGCAGCGGGGTGGGACCAGTGGGGGGAAGGCCGAGAGAGCAGAGGAGAGTACGGAGCCAAAGGGCTTCGTGGGTTGCCGCACCGAGC